TTCTTTCTTTCTTTCTTTCTTTCTTTCTTTCTTTCTTTCTTTCTTTCTTTCTTTCTTTCTTTCTTTCTTTCTTTCTTTCTTTCTTTCTTTCTTTTTGCTCGGTTATGGGGCTTGAACTCTGGGTCTGGGCACTGTCCCTCAGCTCTTCAGCTCAAGGCAAGCACTCTACCACTTGGGCCACAGTGCCACTTCCGGTTTTCTGATGGTTTATTGGAGATAAGAGTCTCATGGACTTTCCTGCCCTGGCTGGCTTTGAACCGTGATCCTCAGTTCTCAGCCTCCTGAGTAGCTAAGATTACAGGCATGAGCCACCGGTGCCTGGCTCAAATTGTGTTTTCATTTTGGGATTGCAAACAGCAATCCCAAAAAGCAATCAGGAGTGACTCATTATAGAAAAGTTCCAGATAACTTAATAAGAACAGCAGTTTGGCTCATTTGACTAAAAAGGAGATCTCATTCATTGTAGGTTCAACAAAGACAAGTAATTTTACACCTAAGCAATTTAGCTTCTGTCATAAGATACCATAGGCTTAATGGTTTAGAAAAATAATACAGAGATTTTGGGGACTGGGAATCTCATGATGAAGGCACCCTTAGTTCTGTGCCCCGTGAGGCCTGCTGTCTGATTCCTTCCCAGGTGCTGTCCTATGGGTGAAGGAACCAAGAAGCTTTGTCTCTGGACATTTCTCAACCTACTCTGTGTGTGTGTGTGTGTATGTGTGTGTGTGTGTGTGTGTGTGAGAGAGAGAGAGAGAGAGAGAGAGAGAGAGAGAGGGAGGGAGGGAGGGAGAGAAGGAGAGAGAGAGAGAGAGAGAGATCCCAGTCTACAGTCTATACTCTATTCAAACATTTCTTGTTTGCCTAGGGTTACTACAAAGAGGATTTCCATACAGAATTCTGTCACTGTATTTACCTAGTATGCAGACTGCGGATTAGTTGTAGTAAATGCTGTTTTAGGTCAGTCTCCAGCTATCTCAGCCACCTTTGTGTGAAAAGACTTTGCTGTGTGCTGTGTGAATTCTAGGGCACGGGGGAAGAGTTTCTCAGTGTCTGCAGTAGCATCCTCTAGCAGCTCCTTTACTACCGATCGGTCATTTCTGCCCCTAATAAGAAATGATCTCAATGAAGTGCTCCTAAATTTCCTAGCTCACTACTTAAATAAAGCTTGTCTTTAGAAGATTAAAGGAATCTGAGTTAAAGATTTTTTGTTTCTCTATATTAAACTTAATCACTTGACCCACATTTTACCTAAATTGTATGACTATTGCAGAAAATAACTAGAGAAACAAATAAAGATAGGAAGTTGGGCCATTAGCTATTTTCCAAAGAACATTTCTATCCATGTATACTCGGCCGTGTCCGTGGGATTCACATGTCTTGGAGTATGATCCAACCCAAACTATTGTGAGATGATGGACCATTCTACAGTTATAAGAATATATGAAAATATTCTTAATTCTTCAATTTTTCCAGAGTGAAAAAAACAATAAAGTTGGGTGTAATGGCTCGTTTTTGTAATCTTAGCACTTAGGGAGGCTAAGAAATGAGAACTTTACATTGGAAGACAGCCTGGGAAAGAGTAAACCTGGGAGATTCAGGGACAGAGATAGAGACAGAGACAGACAGACAGACAGACAGAGAAACAGAGATATAGAGAGAATCAGAAAGTGACCTCGTGAATGGAGAAATGCTAAAGCCCATGTCAAACAGGCAAAATTGGTTAGGTGCTACTATTTTAAAACAAACCTAAATGTTCTAATTTATGAACTCTTTGATGTATGAACTCTGCACTTGTAACTAGTAAAACAGCAAACACGTCGACATCCACTGCTTACACCAGACTTCGCACTAAATTTTAGGCTGTTCTAGATGAGCTTTGGTTGGATGTGGACACTAAGCGGTGTGCAGACTGGTCTCTGATGCTTTGCACTTTAAAGTTCAGGGCCGGGGATGATGTTACATCTGTTTTTTGCCCTCTCTTCAGTTTCTGGGCATGTTCTGGGTAGAGGAACAGGAAATAGATGGCAAGTTATGTCACTGCTCTAGCTGGAGGGGAATTAGTGCATAGTTTAACGTACATTTTTGCAAAGGATACTGATGAGGAATCATTGTGGGAATCAAATCAATCAAATTCACAAAAGAACTGGAATGCCATTTAATTCACGGTAGACTAAAATATCCACGCAATGTAAGAAGGGAGATGAGCATGTAGCATGAAGGTCACCTCAACCCTGGCATACATGCTCCTGCTCCAGAAACTTCTACTACTACCATCGAATGTTTCCACTCAAAGCAATTTTACACACTAAAAATGACAGCCCATTAAACTACTCGCTTCTGCTTTACCTCCCTTTGTTCAAAAGCCCGTGATAAACACCTAAACTGGTGATGGATGGTAAGCGTTGCCTTTGCCTTGGTGCTTGTTGGTTCATGTCTGTATCATTCAGTCAGTGTGTAACCTGTATCTTTTTTTTTTTGTAACCTGTATCTTATGTGTTTCTTTTTTTCCCCTCTTGTATCAGTCTCGAGAAATAGCATCACAAGTAAGTACTTTCTGTTTGTCTCCTGCTCTTCTCATGGTGGATTATAATAATTCATAACTATTAAATAAAAAAAGAATTCGATATTTCAAATTGAAAAGAAAATAAATCATGCTGAAATGCTTTATTTTATAGGTATAGATATAGATTTACCCATGTAGAATAAGGTTTATCTCTAGACATATGATACATTGTCTTTGTGTTTGTGTATTAACCCCCAATTCAGACTCTCTTTCAGAATTCTAATACTTCAAATACACAAGTCTTTTAGCAAGCATTGAGAAACGAATGAACATCATGTATCTGAAATTCTAAAATTTCAGCTATTTTTTTCTTAAATTCCTCACTTATTTGGACAGAATTATATTGTATAATCTACAATTATCTGCTTCCTCCAGTTTTGTGACACATAAACTGAGTGTAAGGCACAAACTGATGGCTTCAGAAAATGTTACAATTGAGTAATTAAAAACAATGCTAATGGCTGTCCTGGTACTTGCCATCAAGAAGTCCAGACTCTAAGATGTCATGATATTTTAATATTCTGTTCCATCAAAGTTAGTAAGCAAAGCTATTCCAAGATGGGATTATAGTTTTTGAAATGGATTGGAAGCTAGTGGTCTTTGGTTTATCATGAGCTTCAGATCAAACAAACCCTTCTGCTCTCCTGGAGGATGGGTTGCATTTGCCACATGCTCTGATGAGACATAAATGCTGGCAGGCGGCAGATCATGAATTTCAGAAGCTGATGTACCTGACTGGTGCTCAACAATATTCATTAAAGATGCCCTTGTAGGGGCTGGGAAGATGGCCCTGCATGCATGAGGCCCTCGGTTCATTTCCTCAGCACCACATAAGCAGAAAAAGCTGAAATTGGCACTGTGGCTCAAGTGGTAGAGTGCTAGGCTTGAGCTGAAGAGCTGAGGGACAGCACCCAGCCCAGAGTTCAGGCCCCACGACTAAAAAAAAAGATGCCCTTGTAGTAAGATATAAATCGACTCTCAGCAAATTTCACAAATACAATACCTTGCTACTAACACTGCTATCATCGAAACCCTAACTTTAAGACCCTGAAGTTTTGGTAGTTGATCCACTTCCGGAGATGACTGAGTTAGTTTGGAAATTATGAAGGAGCATCACAGCTCCACTCATCCCCCACTTATTATCGAGCAAATTCTGAGAATACACGTGGGATGATTTGCCTGGGGGACAAATGATCGACTTCCATTAATTTGTGTTTCCTCTTGTGTGTCCATTTCACTGTTGATGCTGTTACTGTTATTGTTACTGCTGGCTCATCTGTCTTGTTTGCTCGTGTTTTCAAGTCTCTCATTCGGGGAATTTTCAAACCAGTATTTTCAGGGTTTTGGGCATTCCTAATAACAATGGCCACTTTATCAGTTTTTTTTTTACATATTCATGGCTAAAGTAGGGTTTATATGAACACTATCACTTTTAAAGTTGTGCTTTTGAAAAGCAAACTTAAGGAGGCTGTGCTCATAAACATAAACTAACTATAGATTTCAGATGAAGCTGAAAGTTATCTAAGAAGAAAGACTTTATTCTTAAATGTATCTGGAAATGAGTTAAAGAGAGGAAAATAATTTTAATTACTCCACCAACTTATTACCTTTTAAAGGCTATTATGTGAACTGGAACTTCTTTTCTTTCCTTTTTCTTTTTTGGTGGATGGAGGTGTTATCCTGGGGCTTGAACTCAGGGCCTTGGGCCTGCCCCTGAGCTTTTTTGCTAACAGTCTACCACTTGAGATTCAGAGCCACTTCTAGTTTTCTGGTGGTTAATTGGAAATAAGAGTCTCAAGGACTTTCCTGCCCAGGCTGACTTTTAATCATGATCTTCAGATCTCAGCCTCCTGAGTAGGTAGAAATACAAATGTTAGACACGGGATCTTGAACTTCTTTTTTCACTATCAAATTTTCATGAAATTTGGGGGTTTTCTTCATGAAAATTGGTATTATTTCATGAAGATCTCAATTGATACAGTCAAGGTTATGAAAGATTTCAAACATAGTTAGAGAATAAGGGTAGTTATTTGAATGCAAATGCAGTGATGTTTACATTATGCAATCCCCTATTATTTATTGACCTTTTAGATTCTCAAAACATGTTGCAAATACAATGTAACTACTTATTTTCTGTCTTGGCTGAAGCCACTGGCTGGCTGAGCATATTGAACGGAGCGTTTCAAGACTGGTAGGACACCTTTCTCTACCTCTATGAGATTCACTGTGATCTCTCAATTATTCCTATAATTGAATCTCTTCTGGAAAGTGTTAGGTAGGAAACCACATATAAAGCATACACATACTACAGTGAGCCATTTTCTTTAAGGACAATCTTGTTTGTCTTCAATCATAAGTCAGGTTGCACTATTTTAAAGTCTTGCAAAGCTTATAAAGCTTTTTTTATTTTTAAAATGGGAATCATAAGCCCAGATTACAAAGAGTCACTTTCAAACTACTCGAATTGCTTTATTTCAAAATGCTACTATTTTTATGTGGATTCTGGGGCTTGAATTTAGGGCCTGGGCATTGTCCTTGACCTTTTTGTGCTTCATCACTTTGGGTCACAGCAACATTTTTAGCTTTTTTTTTTGTAGTTAATTGGATATAAGAATCTCATAGACTTTCCTGCCAGGCTGGTTTTGAACCATGACCCTCAGATCTCAGCCTCCTGAGTAGCTAGGATGACAGGCCCTGAGTCACGGCTCCCCATGAAATTTTTTGTTGTATAGAGCTAGGAAAAATTCAAAGCATCACTCCAGTTTGTATAGCTTGTTATGCAAATATCCAGTTGTACTTTCTATTACATGATGTTGAAAGATTAGAAGAAACATACACATTCCAAACATGTACAAGCAATCAGTTTTTACTTGGATTTCTTAGTACCAATCTCCAAATTCTTCTCATTCCTTTACCCTTTAGCTAAATTGAAATTTCCAGAGATGTTTACTTATTTTTATTGAATTATTTAAAAAATTACTGGTTTCTTCACGATTTATATGTAAATCAGGATATTCCTTCCTTTGGGAATTTCAAACACTGATAAATACTACATTAAATATTGAATAACTCATGTGCACTTAAATTTCAGTTCAGATGTATAATTTGCATAATTATTGATACACAGGACAGGGAGAAACATTTATATAGTCAAATAATCTTTTCTCACATATTGAAAGAGAAACAAATCATTGCTCTTTCTCGAACCTAGGTTATAGGTCCGTGATTTAAATTATTACTTCCTATTTGCTCACCTGAAAGAGATCAAACTCTTATTTGTAGGGAGACATGTCTAGAAAAAATGACCAGAAAAATTACTTCAAATATATCAAAGCTTATTATTTAACTTGGCAAACTGGTGTTTAAACAAGATTGAACCAATATATTTTCATTTCTGCTACAAAGAACACATAAGTTACTGAACAAAGATGGATATTCTCTATTGATGACAGATATTACTCAAGAATGTGCCTTTTACTTCTACAGGAGTTTCAGTGTATTGCCAAGTGAGTGAGAATAGAATATGTTAAGACTTATCAAAGTATCCCTTACTGCAAAGCCATGCTATTTACAATGTCTTCTATGTTGAATTCTGATAGATAAAATACGGATTCTAAAATTTTTAAGTTAAATGACCTGTCGTCATGAAGTTATGCAGGTTAGAATTTGATGGCCTTCTCTACCATACTACCATTCTGTAGCAAAACCACTAGTGAGCCTTACATTTTTCGTCGACTTCAGTATGAGATAATTTCCTAGTTTGTTACAGAGGTTTGAATGGAAGGCATGTCCGAGCTTTCATACTTTGTTTCACACGTAGAGTAATACTTGGTACTTTAAAGGAAGAAAAGTCTCTATTTGCTAGAGTATATAGCTGAATTGTAAGGATAGTCTACTCAAGGAAAATACAGAAACACAGAGGAGATAACAAATGCTATGTGGATTTGTACACAGGCAGTCCCTAGAATAGTAAAAACATCACAGAGCTAGACAGAATGGTGGTGGTCGGAAGATGTGACTGAGATAGACAGGAGTTTGTTTTTAGTGGGTGAATAGTGTAGAGAAGGTCCACGGTGATTATTTCATAACTTCACGAATGTAATTATCAGCACTGAACTTTTAACTTCAACGAGCTTGTGTTGTGGTGCATGTATTTTGCTACAGTAATTTAACTGAGAAGAAAAAATATCCTCAAAGAAATTTTAAAAGAGAAAACAAAGGTGGTATTGGCTTTACTCCATGACCGTACTTCAGTTGGTAATTTTATTCTTTTACTTGGAGAGTCAATACTGCATACAGGTTGTAGCTATAACTAAAGATGCCATCCTCAGAAGGGAAATAGCGGAATCCGAACTGCTGCTTTCCAGTATAATAGAATTAGGATGCTGTTCATTTTGATGTGCATGTTTTATAAAGTTGGAGTTTCTGATGTAGTGGGTCTTATATTTCATAAGACTTCCTGGTATGAAAAGCAATAATTATTAAAACTGTACACTTGTACTTATGAAGGGCTGACACTCAAGAGAGAGATTGTTGCTCTAAAAATCTGATTCAGTCATTAAAGACTAAATCAGAACAGGCTTAGGGAATTTGTTATTGGTTTCCCTTCATATGGAGAATGGTTTAGTTTAAGTTTTCTGCTGTGATTCTACAAGATGTTTTCCAAATATTACCACTGGCAGTGTTTCACTTGAAGTGTTTTCTAAAATAAGTAAATTAACCAGTGAAGTGTTTTTATGTTGAATGATGAATGAATAAATGAGCAAAAGTGCTTTCTATTTTCTTTTGGGCATAGGAAAGGATTCAAAAATTTGCATTTTATAATTTACTCTAATTTTACCTTTAGAAAGCTGCAATCACTTACAAAGCTTTGTAAGAATGTTAAGCAAGTCATTTAAGTTGAATATGGATTGCCTGTAATGACCTTTCGAAGCGTATTCGGTGGGTGTTATGTGAATGAAGATAGAAAATAGCTAGGCTTGCATTTTGATACTTCAAACCACCATGTGTCAGCAGTCAGTAACAAGAAAAACCTCACACATTAAAGATACAAACAGACACTTTTTCATTGAAAAGTGCTGTTGTGAGTTGCTGACATGCTGGTGAATCTACATTCCAGTTCAAGAAAACATCTTCTATCACATCTTTTTTATTTTTCCTTAGTAATAGACACTTAGAACCAATGGTTATGATTTTTCCCTTTCTATGGAAATGCCCGTAAGTGGATAGATAACCAATGCTCAGATTTTGCAAATGACTCTGTTGTCAGCTCCAAGCTGTGATTTTGCCATACTTAATGACCAATATCCATTTCCTTTGAAGTCTCAAATATCTATCAACGTGGAAGAGTGGGAAGACACGAAAGACTGCAAAGACCCCGGGCACCACCGCAGCCTGCACCGCAACTCGACCTCCAGCGACCAGTCGGACCACCCTTTGCTCCGCAGGAAGAGCATGCAGTGGGCTCGAAGACTGAGCAGGAAAGGTCCAAAGCACTCTGGTAAAACAGCTGAAAAAATAACCCAGCAGCGACTGAACCTCTACAGGAGGTCAGAAAGACAAGAGCTTGCTGAACTTGTGAAAAATAGAATGAAACACTTGGGTCTTTCTACGGTGGGATATGGTATGCCCTTTAAAACTACTGTATCTGTGGACTTGTCCTTTCTTGCTGTGAATTGCTTATAAAGTTGGCTCTGATTGGTTAGAAAACGATTGCATTTTCGTTTCACAGGTTGGGGCAGGGACAAGTGACACCGATCTATGCCAGAGGAATTTCAGGTGATAATGGCAGAAAGAAAATCCTGAGAACTTTAAACACTTACTGAGTTAAAAAGCCCTGTTTTTAACCTATTATGCAGATCATCTCCACTTTAATTTCCCCATAAATTTCTGGGATAGATTCTTTGTTTCTATTAGACATAAAGAAATCTGTTCAAGTCACTTGTTAGTTGGCTCCCAGGAGTAGAGATTTACATCATGTGACACCAAAGTCTTCCTTACACGCATGAGCATGTGTGTATATGTGCACACATGGGCACACATCTAGGCAATGCCAGTATCATGCAGGTTAAGGGTAAAGCAGGACACATTCTATATTTCCCCCATTGCTGGCTCATTATTAAAGTCTCAACTTGAGACAAGGTTCATAAGAAGCAATTTTAATTCCTGAATTAGACCTGAAGTGAAATTTCATGTGAATTTTGAACAAGAAGGAAAAGTATATTTTCAGAATATTTTTATGCCCAGAGCTATGACTATATTCTCATAATTCCTATACCTCTAATGAGATAATTACATTTACTTTGCTCTTGTAAGAATTTGAGTCACGGAGGTTAAAGATTGCTTATTCAAAGACATGGAGTTGAAATGTGGTGGAGTCAGGGTTCTCCATGTAGCTTTCTTTAGTGATTCTGTTTCATTTACATAAATGTTGTACAGACTCATCTGTGCCAGTAATATTAATATAGTTGCACATCACATTTTGTGTTCAGAAGTAAATTAAGGGAACAAAACGATCTTCACTTTGGAAATTCACTGGTAGCTTTTTGCTAATTTGATGTCTTTCAGGATCATTAAATTCTCACAGGATGAAGCTCCTATATTTATGTATTACTTATTATTAAGGCACATTTCTTCTAATGAGAAATTCTAACAAATAATTGTTCATCCAGGTCTCATTTGTTTTTCATGAGCATTCCAGCCCCACACTGGGGCCATGCAAAGAAGGAAGGGCTTAACTTTTAGAGACATAAAAATGCGTGGGATAACTGCATGAGAAACCAGAGAAAAATATTATGGTTTTGCTAATGAAACCTGTTCAAAGCACCTTGGGTTTATTGTACTGTCTGGCTTGTATTCCTTTTCATAATTTGTTTATTTTATGCTCACAATGACTCTTCCAGAATGGATGCAGGCATTCTGTCCTCTTCTCCCCATTCCTTCTTTCTCTCTCTATTCTATCCATCTATCTGTTCATGGTGATAGGATTCCTCTCAACCAGCCTGGGTTGAAACCTCTAATAATAATGGTCTAAAAAAATCCACAGGATTTGGAAACTAATGCATCATGGATTTACTTTTCTATTCCTCATTTATAGTAATGGGTCCATGCTACCCTCTTGGTATGGGACATTGCTCTAGGCTGCAGGAATAGGACAGTGGGCCTCCTGAGAAGATTATAAAACTCACATTCTCATACCAGCTCTGTAGATTGGGTGAATCCCTTAACTTCTGTGAACCTGTCTTCTCGAGTATAAAATGAGATAGTACCCTGATCTTAGGTTTGTTGCAAGACAAATGGCATTATGATTAACATAGCACTTGACTGACATCTGTAATTCTCCAAACACACGGTATATAATTCATAAGAGTTTTTGCCACTGTGCATTAAGGATGGGCTTTTGACACAAAGGAAGAGTTTGATGCACCTCCACAACAGCAAAAAAAGAAACAAAACAAAATATGTTGAACCTTGGTAGCCTTGAGTTAATCATGAGTGATAGTATGATTTTTTTTTTTGCTGAAGTTTGGCTGCTATGAAAGAAAGATTATTGGGCTGGGAAGGTGGCTCAGTGGTAGAGTGCTTGCCTCGCATGCATGAGGCCCTGGGTGTGTTTGATTCCTCAGTACCACATACACAGAAAAAAAAGCCCAAAGTAGGCACTGTGGCTCAAAAAAAAAAGAATTAAAGATTATTATGACTCACTGGTTATAGGAAGTTAGAAGAAAAGAATCAAAATATGATTCCTGCAACTAGCTTGTTTGTGCATGCCTAAAATCTCCACAGCGGAGAGGCTGAGGAAGGAGGGCGGGAGTTTGAAGCCATCCTGGATCACGGGGGAGACCAATGTCTCAAAAACAATGAAAACAAAAAGATGACTCACGAGGGCCCCTGGGATGAGCCCCCAGTGTGTCACAGTAATGTTCATGAAGAAGACGAGTTTATTCAGGTGAGAAGAACGTCATGGTTACTCATTATTGTTATCATTATCACTGTCATTCATGGGCATGCTACCACTGTTGGTCTACCCAGGTAGAGCCCAGTCCAAGAGGCGCCTGCTTTTCCATTTCCATTGTCCTCTCTGAGATCACAGGCAGGCGGTCCACCTTGGAGGTATGGAGTCTCAGCCTTTTTTTTTTTTTAACCTGGTCTGCCTGATACCACGATCCTTCCAATTTCAGCTTCCCCGGTGTACATGAGCTCACAGGCCACTGTTCTGGCTAGTCTTGAACCACAATCCTCCTGTCTTCACCCTCCCAAGTAGTGAGGAGCATAGAAGTGCTATCAGCAGCAGGCTAGCACACTTGATCTGAGCATTAGAAGACCCTAATGGATCAGTCTTCACAAGAAGCTGGAACCCTTGAGTCTAGGAGTCAAGAAGAGAAAGAAGATGTGGATAAAGGTTCGAGTCTGAAGTCATAAACATAGATTTTTAATTTAAGCTACAAAGAATAGGTGAAATATTCCTCAGGTGCAGGGGAATCTCAAACCCACATATTTCTAGAATGTTAGAGGGACATTATTTTAGAGCAAGAGCTGAATGTTCTAAACTGTTATCCAAAAGATATAGTATATTATCATAGGTCATCTTACCACAACATTCTGTCCATCGGGGGTTTTCTTTGGCTAAAAATTTCTTTTTAACAAATATTATAAAGGTGATGTACAGGGCTGGGAAGGTGGCTCAGTGGTAGAGAGCTTGCCTTGCATGCATGAGGCTTTGGGTTCAATTCCGTAGCACCACAGAAGCAGAAAAAGCTGGAAGTGATGCTGTGGTTCAAGTGATAGAGTGCTAGCCTTGAGCTGAAGAGCTGAGGGACAGCGCCCAAGCCCAGAGTTCAGGCCCCATGGCCAGAACAAAAATAAAAAAAGGTGATGTACAGAGGGTTTACAGATACATGTTAGGTAAAGATCACATTTTTTTGGACAATGTTACCCTTTCCCTCACTTTCTTCCAGATTTTCCCTTCCATCCCCACCCATAATTTGTATAGTTCATTTTCAACATAGTGTCCAGTGAGTACCACTGCTGCATTTGTCCACCCTCTGTCCCTTCATTTCTGTTCCCCTCCTTACTCTCTGAAAGACAGCTAAGGAGAAAACAAGACAATAAGAAAACAAAAACAACATCTTAATGATTAGGTAGGGAAATGACTTTCCTTTCGAACAGATGCCTATAGGAATTGCACCTTTGTTCATCTCCTAAAAGTATCCTTCTTTGGTCTCCATGCATGTGAATGCCTAGAGTCCTGTATAATTTATCATTTCCCAGAATATTTTAGATCTGTATTCTGCATATATAAAATATATTTCTAAGCAGTTGCACATACCAGTTTTACTCTACCCCTTTATAAGACACACATACTTTTGTGTTTGGGTTTGTTTCATTTATGGGGCTCAGATCTTTATTAAGAAAGAAAAGAAGCTAGATAGTAATAATGAACACAATAGATGTTGTTTCAAGAAGCTGCATTGTGAAAGAGATGAGAAATTTGGAAATAACTGGATGAGAAATGTAAGGAGACAGGATTTTTTCTCTTAAATATCAGAAAGGCCTGAACATGCTTCAGTATTAAGATTGAGCCATCAGTGAAAAAGTAAAAGATAATGGGAAGAGAACATAGTTGGAACCATTTAGGAATTCGGAAACAGAAAGCATGTTTTAAATGTGGTGAACTTGTTGATATCTTGGCAGGAAGTTGAGTCTTTCAACTGATCCTAAAGATTTATCACTCATCTGTGAAGGATGATAGCAAAAATCATTGTATGTGAAAGGAGATTTGTGACCTTGTGTCTTTCTAGGCCAGATTCCATTGAACTCTTCTGATTTAATTAATACAGAAAACTTCAAACATGAATAGATGTAGAAGGAATGCACAAGCTGATTCTATATTATTGACCCAGGCCCCCTTCAGAACTTGTCAGCTCTTGGGTCATCTTATGTTGTGTGTATTACCAGCTCCATCAGCTCTCATGTTATTAAGAAGAGTTCAGACATCATCTATTTGATCCTATATCTCTATAATTTAAGGACTCACCATAACCACCTGTCAGTTCCAGACTCTGAAATAATTGGTTACTATTATCCAATATGCACTCTGAGTTTACATTTCCAATTAACTCACAGATGACATAGCTACTGCACTAATATACTGATCTATCAGGATCAGTTAAGGTCCAAACATTGAGATGAGTGAAAAGTTTCTTATGTCATTTTAGCTTACAAGTTGGCCAAGTCATTTGTTTATATTTCAATGTATTTCTTAAAGAAACTCTCTCAGTCCTAGTTGGTTTTCCATAATCTAATTTTTCCCCTGTGAATGTACCTGTCTCTTTCCCTCCTTTGTCATTTCCCCCTGGTGTTTTCATATTTATTATTATAACCTCATGTGTGTTACGCATTAGTTCATCATAGCTACCATATCCTTACAAGATTGCTTTCTGCTCACCCAGTGGGAGCCTCTTGTGACCGCTGAGGAGATGTTGTTGTCATGGCAATGATCATCTAGGATGGACAGCCTTGTTCTCTACAGGACTAAGGTCTCCCATCTCACAGAACTCACTTCTCTAAGTGTCTCCATTTTCTTTAGTAGGAAAAAAGAGGTCAAGACCATTATCACAATTTAAAGGTGCTAATTTTTACTGGGTTTGTCATTGTTTCAATGTTTTTTCAACAGGCGGAGCTAAAATTAGGCAGACATATATAGAAGGGTGGATGAGAGACAGGTGAATAGAGAGATGGTAGATAATAAAGATGGATGATAGATGGATGGATGCATAGGAAGGAGGGTATGGAGGGTGGTAGGTAGGTAGGTAAGTAGATAGACAGATAGACCAACCTACAGCTGGACAGGCAGACAGCTAGATAGCTAGATAGAAGATGGACATAGCACTGAGCACCAGTGGCTCATGCCTGTAATCCTATCTACTCAGGAGGCTGAGATCTGAGGATCGCAGTTCAAGCCAGTGCAGGCTGGCTTGAGCTGAAGAGTGCAGGGACAGTGCCCAAGCTCAGAGTTCAAGCCCCACAACTGACAAAAAAAGAAGATGGACATAGCTATGAGTTCATACAGTTATTATAGTTCAAATCTAGGCCTACAACTTCTTATTTCACTTTATGTTTTATCAGTACTCTTTTCAGGGCTGAGAATGCAGCTCAGTGGTAGAGTGCTTGCCTAGCACACAGGAAACCCTGGGTTCAATTCCTTAGTACATACACAGAAAAGGCCAGAAGTGGTGCTGTGGCTTAAGTGTAGAGTGCTATACTAGAGCAAAAGCTCATAGACAGTGCCCAGGCCCTGAGTTCAAGTCCCAGGAATGGTTAAATAAAAAGCAAAAAAAAAATCAATATGCTTTATAGTGCTGGACTTAGCCCCCATTGACAACAGAAAGCTTAGTATGGTAATATACACCCACAATACATAGAAGTATCAGACTAATTTCGTGCTAGTATCAGCAATACAGTTGCTAACAGGTTTATTTTTGTACATGCTTTAAGGCATGTTTCCCTAGGGACCCTGGTGGCCTAATGCACTGTGCTTGGTTATCCTGTCAACAGAATATAAAATCAGGCCCAGTTTTACTCTCAGTGTTTGAGGATTGCTTTTTCTAAAATTGAATTTCTTTGTATAGTTCTAAAATTATTCCCACAATCAAATTAAGTTCAATAGAAGGTGTACAGAAGGAAGTTTGACATCAACTCTTTTAAACACCAGACAGAATCCTCCTAGGCAGCCTTACTAGTAAGGCTATAGTCGATGGTTCTACTTTCTGAATATAATTTAAAACATAACTGTATTAGCATATGTTCTTTTAATGAACAGTACTTCTTTTAATTAGAAGTGCATCCTGGTATATAGAATATAGTATATAGGAATAATCCTTGCATTTCAGGTGAGACTCCAGTGGTACAAACCTGCTTTACAAGAGTTAAAGCGCAGAGTTCAAATCCCAGTACCACACAAAGTCTACTGAAATAGTTTCTTGTGTTTTTATGGTAGAATATGTTATACATCCTTCTGTATTTTTTCCAAGGTATATTTGTGATGGATTTCTAAAAGTGAAAATTACTGAGAGTTAAAGATTAGATATGGATATATATAGTTTTTTCCAAGTGTTCTTTCTTGATAGGTTTATTACATTTCTTCTAGCAAAATATGAATCTAGTTTTTTTAAACCTTGTCAGTAGAATGTTTTGCTTAATGCCAAACAGTTTATTAATCTAGTAGGTAAAAAGATTCCCTTGTTAGCTCATGGTACCCATGTACAATAAGGATCTTTACTCATAGAACCATTTTATATGAGCTCCTTGCTTCTCTAGCTAGCTTTTATGTACTTATTCTCCTAGAATTTGTTTATTGGTAAGCTCTATTGACATTTTTTCTATGTGTATATTAGGTTGAGATATTTCTTTCTATGCTTAGTCTTCTTCTTTTACTAAGGGTTTTATAATGGCTATTGGTTTTCAGAACCTATGACTATGTCATGGCAAAATATCACCAACTGGCCTAAATTACTGGAGATTATTTCCTCAGAAGTAGAAGGTGGAAGTGTGGGAGTCCACGTTCCCATCTTCCCTGGTCTCATCTCTCGCCTTGCAGATGAGATGGGTGGACAGACGTCTCTGTACACAGCCATGTCTCTCTATGCATGCAAGCTGGTGTCATAGAAGGAAATAGTGCTTTAGATGAGGGTCCAACTCTCACTATGCATTAATTTTTCCCTTGGCTTTATGTCTAAACACAGCCAATTTGGTGCTCAAGTCTTCATTATAGGAATTTGAGAGTTTGGGGTGAGTGAGAACATAATTTGGCCCCTGAAAGAAATAATATTCAATCACTATATATGATATATATGGAGCATCTAAGTTTATTGCTTGCCAAATTGCGTTCTCTTTTTCTAAACTCTTCTAAAATATTCAAGTCTTTAAATATTTTAACATGAACATCAACAGTAAAATTTAAAACCAATTGAAAATCACTTTTGTAGACTAGACATTTTTTGTCAAATTTTAAAAGAATTTTAGAAATATTCTCTATTCTCTCCAAGAGGGTCTATCTGCATGAAGTAATGGAGAATATTTGCTATTGGGAATTTGTGAGTCAATAGTTACCTATTGTAATTAACACAGCACAAAATTAATACAAAAGGACTAGTCCTGGAGCTTTACTTGACATAATTTCTTGAAAGTTTATACAAGTGCAGACCTGTTCTTCTAGAAATCTTTTGCCAAGAATAGTTTTATTAAGACAATTAACTCAATATTGAAACAGTCATTTTAGTGGCAGTGATTTAAACAACATAGTACTTTCACCTTGCTACAGGAAGAAGGCCCTTAGTAGGGCATAGTGGATATATTCACAGGAGATTTCCTTAGCCCACATTTTTGTTGGGTAGGAAATAGAATCTTGATTCTGTGTGCCATGAAGCTAAACTTACCTCCCCCCAAACCAAAAACCAAATATCAATCAAAACACCACCCCCCAAGAGAAAATAAAGAGTAAAACAAAAATGAAGTAAAAACTTACCTTGATTAGTAAGTATGGTATTTTTGGTGCAGATATATTTAATGAATTTGTGTCTTTGCCTCATGATCACTGATCATTACTATGATAAGTTCTTAATAATATAAACTAACTGATCACCTTGTCCCTTATAGAATATAGAAATAGTGCAAATATAACTACAGAGAGTGACGAATGAGCCAAAAAAGTACTTTTAAAAATGATTGTAGAATGTGACTTTGATAAGTATCTATAATAGACTTTAAAAAAATCTCACTTGTGAATTCTCAAGTATCAAGTCCCTATGACAGAGAGAGAGAGAGCTGTAAGACCACCAGCAAAGCATGGCAGAGAGAAAGCAGGTTAACTGAACTCTGGCTGGGAAGACATGAAAGAGAGGAAAAAATGGGTTTTGAAATCGGCAACTTCTTTTGACCTAAATCAAGAGCACCAGTTCCTCTGTGCCTGTGGTATTCAGTGAGAGTCGCAGAAAGAAACGAGGCCTGATTAGTTCTTGTTGCGATCTCCTTTAAATGGAATCCTTAACTCCAGTCCATTTACCAGAATCTGTGCTCCAATTCCTAGAGCCCAGGGAACAGTTAAAATGACCAAAATAGGATAATTAAACAAACAAAATGACATAATAATTTTATCCACCACTGGCTTCATAGCTATCTTAGATAATGTTTTGAATTTTTAAAAATTATCTCTTAAGTAGTTGTACAAAGCGTTCCCATTCACCAAAGCAGTTTATGAGCACACTACACCTCCATCAATGTTCTTACCCACTCCTTCCTTCCAATTCACCAAAGCAGTTTATGAACCCTGCACCTCCATCAATGTGGCCCCTTTCAACGTTCTTACTCACTCCTTCCTTAATAATTTTCTCTATGAATATTTCTGGGGTTGACCATCATCAGCCACAATTACATTCTAAGACTGGGCGAGGCCTGTAAAAATGAAGTAAACACTTTTTAATGGAAAGTTTTTAGTGTGGTAGCTTCTAACTGTGTTTTCTCCAAACAGAATTAGATACTTCCTTTTTAATCATCTCTTTGGACAAAGAGCGGGTACCTGTCTGTTATTTCCAGTGACAAGTAATTTGAAAAAATAGCAAACTTATGTACACAGCGACAGACCAAGTGCTCCTTGGTTTGAAGATGAGGAAATTCACAGTCATCCTTTGTAACTTCCTGTCAGTGGTGTAACACCCCTTCCATGGATTTGTCTTCCAGATGAAATGAATGACCATCAGAATACTCTCTCCTACATCCTGATCAACCCATCCCCAGATACCAGACTTGAGCTCAATGATGTTGTGTAAGTTGATTCATGGTTCACTTTTGGAAAGCAATATATTTTTAACTAAACAACTGATTTAACACCAAGTTTTAACCTTTACTATGGTAGACCTCGATTTTCCTCCTGAATAAATATTTTAAACCTTTTTTCAAATAGAAAAGCAATGCATTTAACGTATGTACTACTTCCTATAAGAAGGCAAGATTGTTGAAAGAAGTATAAAATAAGAAATGATAGCATGAATTCTGTATCTTCTAAGTGAACATATATTTCAGAAAGAAAGAGAAAAGAAGAGGAATAATAAGAGAACAGGCCCAAGGAAAACCTAAAATATCCCACACTACTAATTTTAATTACCTTAAACTTGCTTATGGTCAAAGAGGTCAAAATAACTAGAAAAAAGGCTCCAACGGTAACATGCGTCGCCTGTGGGAAATCAGTACGTTTGTCTACTGTATGACTTTCACTCCGCTCATGCTGTAGCTTCTTGATCTCTGTAACCTGCTGGTGGAGCCAGCGTTTGTTCATCTCGCAGCTGTTGTTAAGAAAGGTGTGAAGACAGATGTTCCTTTGACACACCAAATTTTATTTCCTTTGGCTACATAACCAGCAAGCTTCTGTAGTCTATAATACAGGTGCTGCTATGGTTATATAGCCTAAATATGGATATTTCTAGAAAAGCTCAGGTCTCATTTTGGGAGCAATGTCCATAGTGTTCTTTATTTTGGACATGCGAAATTATGTGTGAGGCATCAGTAAGGTGCAGTCTCCTTTTCTTACATCCTCATCGGCATTTGACGTTTTTAGTCTTTTTGAGTTTAGTTATTCTAGCAGAGGTGAGGTGATTCTCATTGCAGTTTGATTTGCATTTCTCTGATGAGTAATGGTGTTGAATTGTGTGTGTGTGTGTGTGTGTTTGTGTGTGTGTGTAAGTGCGCGTGTGTGTACGGGATTGAAGACAGAGCCTCAGGCTTTTGCTTAGCTTTTTCACTCAAGTCTTGAGCTCTACCAATTGAGCCACACACCCCCACTTCTTTTTTTTTTTTTTGATGGTTTATTGGAGATAAGAGTTTCGCAGAACTGTCTTCCCCCACTGGCTTTGAACCATGATCCTTGGATCTCAGCTTCCCGAGTAGCTAAGATCGTAAATGTGAGCCACTAAAGTCCGGTGATGTTTCCCCCACCCCCCACATTCTTATCACAAATTCATAGATTTTCTTTTGAAGGATGTTTTTTTTTCGGCCTAATCTTTCCAGGAGTGAAAAACTCTACCAGTTAATTAACTGGTGTTTTTACTTGTCATACATAGAGAAACAGTTTAAGTCACCTAAAAGCAAAGTGGCCAATCTCACCCGACATTATGCGTAAATGTTGTCTTCACCTCATATTACGATAAATTTGGCTTTATTTTCTTTCATTAGATACTTAATCCGGCCAGATCCCCTGTCCTACCTTCCAAACAGCGAAGCCAGTCGGAAAAACAGTGTGTGCAACGCCATGGGACATGACTCTCGAGAGGAAACGCAACTTTGATAACAGGAAAATAAGAGACTTTTTTTTTTCTTAGAAGAACCTAGTTTGAACTATCAAAGTATTGCTGGCATGAAAGCAAACAAATTGAAATGTATTCAGTTCTCTCATATTTGAACAAGCAACATTTCTTCAAAGGATGAACCATTTTGAAACAGGTTTATTGCTACTTCCCTTATTAAAAGAATTCTAGGTGATGAGCCTCAAAACCGAAATGAAACCACAAACGTTAGAATGTGATAATTTAACTGAGAACAATATGAATTTTACAAAGCCAGTTGGAAGTACTGGTTAGGGTTTTATGAAAGTAAATGGAAAAAAATCTGCATTTGGTATATACATTGCAATAGGCATCAAAAATTGTTGTTCCTCTTAAAAATCTAACGTTGTCAGATTATATTCTTTAACTGTGGCATTTTATAAAACTCATAAAAAACCTTATAAAAGCTCATCCTGACTGTCTTCTCTACATAGTGATTAACTAATACACCTTGAGGCTAACTTTTGTGGAAGAATCATAGATTGCTTTAGAATACAGGTTTTTAGTCAGCCTTTATTTTGTCTGTCTTTTCATACAACATCAGGTTCATTTCCCAATTTGAGATTTTATAGCATGCTTAGCTACACAGAAGAAGCTAAAACATTATCAGGAAGAGAGCTTAAGTACCTTGAGCTCTTTAGTAACTTGACATGTACACATTTTATGCCAAGAAAAGTGTATTAAAAAGGAAATATGTATTGTTCTCTTTAAAAATGCCTATCATAGAGAAAATAAAACACATGCTTGTTAATTTTTAACTCAAGAATTAAAACATTAGCTGGATTTCTGAAATATGCAGAATTGGTTTTCATTAGATTACCCTGGAGCTTATTTAATATTTTCCATGTCTCCCTGGAGTGAATTTAATTAGAAGTTATTTAAGATTAAAAGAACATTAATACTTTTAATGCACTACCATGACACTTTAAGCCCTTATGTAATAACACTCAAATATATTCTGTGAGAAATCCTGATTTACTTTCCAACTATCTATATTTTAACATTGTGAAGCAAAAACATTAAAATGAGTAATCCTTGTCCTTTGTATTTAACATGAATCATTCAGAATTTAATAATTATAAATTTAAATAGGAATTGTTCCTTGAGGACATGGACACTCATATCGTGATAATAATCTGTGTTGTTTCCGTTCCCTTACTTTATGTAGACCAAAAAGCACAAGCTAAGCACAGGAAGGTGACCCAATGGTAGAAGTGTGTTCACGTGTTCCCAGAGGACCGGCACGGGTCAATTGTGAAATATTTCTTTATTCTTCAACTTGCTATAAACTTTCAACTCAACAAAAGAAGGACCCATAGTAAAAGGAAAGATCACTTTATCTTTTTTAAACAGAGCAGGTGATTTGCAAGCATAATAAAACAGAAAAACCTTATTGTATCTGAATAATCACACAAAAAATGTAAAACATAAAAAGGCAAAAATCAATGTTTCATTTGGCTTGAAGAATATGTACCATCTCTTCTTTCTTTATGAGTATTTTACATTACCCATGTTTTAGGATGACAAGAAAGCCAAGACTTTCCCCTAAAACAGATAATGGCTCTCTGTAATCTCCAGAGCAGTACGATTACACGTTATTGAAAATCAGAAGCATGCCTTAAAATGCAATGATTGTATGCATTTATGTGTGTATGTGTTACAAACATAGAATATGTTTGACCGAAGCACCTATCAGAGATTGTTAAATTTGAAAATGACTCTAATCTTGTAACAGAGGAAAGAATGGATCTGCTGACCTTGCATCATAGCTGCAATACCAATAGTCAAGTATGATATTTCTTTGGGTTGACATTTTTTACTCCATTGCAATTATTTTTAGGAAAACAAAAATCCAAGATTTTACAAATCTTCTATTTCCCAGTGAGATCTGAAGTTTAGTATTTTTGCATTATGACAGTTGTTACGACTGAGATTTTAAGCTAGGGTATGATTATATTTCCTATAAAACTAAAATTTTTCTTTCATAAATTTTAAAATAATTATTTTTGATTATGAGTATTGCTCCAAATTTAATATTTGGAAGACTTCATATCAGCTTGCTGTAATATTGATAGTTTATTAGTCTTTCTGGTTATTTAAAAAAATAAAATATGCTTATAAAAGACTTTTAACAAACTGTTGCCTTTTTAAAATAATTACATTTGCACATGAAAATAAAACAAAGTCAGTAATTGTCCTTGCAATCCTATGGGAACTGGCCCTGTTTATTGTCTATGTATAATTTTGCTACAAGTTACATTGAATTGCTTTAAATTAATTAATAATAAAATTATTTCTGATGATGAAAATTCTTAGGGTTTATTTTTGGTCGGGAGGGCATGTGTCAAAGCTTTGTTTAAACAAAGTATGTCTTAAAAATATAAAATTACCTTGTCACTTCTACACTTCTAACCCAAAATAAACAGAAAGTTACTCTTTGGAAAACAGCAAAGCAAAACAGCAAAACAAAACACAACCCTGCTGTTGAAGTGATGTATTAGATGCTTGATCATTACTGTACACTGACTGGAAAGGAGAGAGGAGGAGAGATAGCAAAGAGGAGAAAGTGAACTATGGGAGAGAAGGAGAAATGGGAGACTAAAAAGCAGATGCCCAAGGGAAATAGACTTTACAAAGCTGAGAATAATATCCCAGCATGATGGTGTAAAGTCGATGGAAGTATTGGTTCCCATGAAGATTGAGTAAAATGCGAAAATAGATTTTTGGTTGCAAGCAAATGGAGTTGGCATGTTTCTCTTTGTTCTTCCTGTGATGGTACCCCAGATACTATTCAGAAAACACAGAAGACGCTGTATCAGGGGAAGCAGACAGGGACTCCCAGAAGCAGCCTGGTGCTGCATTTCCCTGGGATTTCTTTGTGCTCCTTATTTATCCTGAGCAGCATACTGGGAAACACTGATGGCCGGAGGTGCAAATGTCCTTAGAGAAGCCTGCTCTCTCTCCCCCAAAGACAGGCTCCTAGGGCATGCGCAGCTCCTACTCTCTCACGCTCCTGGGCTTTTCCCAGTGTGGGTGGCTTCTGCTAGAATCCAGAGTGGAGACACAGATGTCCTCAGCATCCCGCGGAATGGGTGCCCAGGGAAGGGCGCAGGAACAACTTTCCCTGCGCCAGCCCCTCCTGCGACTGAGACTGATTTCTAGCAAGTTCTGCCTGTGCAACAGCACGGCGATCTCTTTGCAGGTGCGCAAGCCACCACCACCCTCCTGTCTCCGATGGACTCTAGGTTTCCGCCTGGGAAGGGAAAACCACACAGGGATGTGGGCGGGTACCACAGCGCACAGCGTGAGCACTGGATTGGATATAATGTGGGTCAATCAAAGATACAAACAAATGGTTCTTAATTAGGGATCTTCTGGCTGAACTCCACATGCCATCCAGTTGTGTCAGAGAACTGAGTTTTATTAATGAACTCTGGAATGTTTCCGTAGAAATAAAGCAACGACCTGTTTGGGGGGATAATGAATCCAAAGAAATCTTCCACAAACTGCACTGCAGTCCCATGCAAAAGAAATGTACAGTTCTGCATACACAGGTATGTTTTCTCTTTCTATGTGTAATAGACACAATGTTTCACTCTAGTGATAGTTGAGCTAGAGAACCTTTGTGCTTAGAGGTTAATTGCAGTCTCAAAAGGGGGCTTTTCTAAATTTAAGAATGCTGAACAAGTTTTCAAAGTTTTCATCATAGAGGTCCTTCACTTCTTTGGTTAAGTTAACATAGGTCCCATGGTTTCCCTTATTTGCAATATCTAGTATATGTCTGAGTCAAGCAGAAAAGGTCAGGTAAGGTGATGTTAGGGAAATGAACCCTAAGATATGTATTCAAATGTTTTTTTCTTTCATGTGATTGTTTCTAACACATTTATAAGATTATTTCTTTGTTGCTTTGTATGTCCCTCCCCCACAGTATAACCCCTGGTTTCACTGTATTTGATGTTGGTATAATTTGTGGAGGGGAAGGAGAAAAACAAATCGTTTAAATAGGGATATAGGTGGACCCATTGCAACAAGGAGATGTACAAGTCCTTATGTCGAAAACGAACTTTACAACTTTGGTGGTGGGGAAATGGGGAGCCGGGAGGATTGGGTGGGGGGAGAATAAAAAAAAAGAATGCTGAACAATGATCTGTTTGCTGCTGATTGTCATATGGACTAAAAAAGACCTATGTTTAGAACATAAAGAAGTCTCATTTTTATTTTTGTTTTTTTTGTTTTTAAAATGTGTCAGATTATAGAGAAGGGGATTTCACTGTCACATTCCCACATATTTACAATATATTTTCTTTGAAAAATTCTCAACTTGTGCACAAAAAAAGACTTCTGAGACACAGCTCTTACTCTCCATGAAGAAATACTGAAATTGATGTCCATAAGTACATTGCTCACACATACAGACACAATTAAATTGTACATTGCTAAAGTCATCATTTTAAAGTCCAAAGTTCCTCTTAAGCACAGAATATTGTCACATTTGACATTTACATTAATCTATTACATGCAATGATTTCCAAATCTTAATGGCTACCATAGAATGACAGCTTCCTCAAATAACCATTATCGTATCATTTGATATCACAAAGAAATCCACTTTGTGATATATGTTAGGCTCTCTCTGTTGAGCTGTGTACTACAGAATTAGATGGGCACAGTAATCACAAGGTGAGGTTTAATATCATAAAGAATTATCTCAAATAATGACCCCTATATAAACAACATTTTAGCCTAAATCAGTGTTATAGATATGCATATATTGGAATGGCTATAAAGATCCAAATCATTATACTGTCAATATGAAAGAAATATTCATGGCCTTTACAAAGCATTTTGATATAAAATGCAGGAGAAGTAATAACTACTTTAAAAGCACTTCAGCTCTAGACATTCTTGGGCCAACAAGGCTATAAACAACTTGGATTTGAAAGGCAGATTTCTTATGATTACT